CTTTGGGTGCTTTAAATACATCTTTAGACCGTAGCTTAAGCTGAGCTGAGAAGTCTCAAACCTGCTCTTCCGTTGAGATTCATCCACCTTCAGTTACTAGGTTGCCGCTAACTTCCCGGTTTCGAAGCATACATTAACTGACAGTATTTTCCAGTTTTTGTTTTTTGTGCATTTTTCTTATAATCCAGTTTTCAAGTTCTTCAAACTCAAAGATCGAGGCAACTGATCCGACCTTCAGTGGATTTTTTTTTTTTTTTATACAGAATTCATTTATTTACTGGATCTGCTATAATATAAGCCTAACAGTAAGTGTACAAATCTTAAAAACTAAATTACAAACATGATAGCTCGAGTTTTTTAACTCTGAGCCCTTTTCAAACTACGGCGCTCTCCTTAGAAGGCGGGAACATCTCTTCGTTGCAGGCGGGAATTTCTCGATTGGTTGCATAAAGCATTAGCTAGCGGATTTGGATGATTTCTTAGCTTTGTGAAGTACTTTGTCCTGCTTCTTTCAATTTCAGACTGAAAGAAGACAGTGGATTGATGGAAATTTCTGCGCTGCTATCTGGTGTTGAGAAAATCTCAACCTACCAAGATTTATGCATGAAAAATCCACCAACTATTGAGCTATGAGTAAATGTTATTGGCTGCTGTGAGTATATTCGCAATCGCTTGTGATAATTTCAAGTAAGGAGCACTTGCCACTTTTTTACTCTCTCCAAAATCGACTTTATTGTGCGTGCTGCGTTCGGCTTTTATTTACATTTCTCCTGCACGTAGCTTTAGTGCGGAGAGAAGGTATACGAATAATCTTAGAAAATTGCTTTAAAGGAGCAAAGCTTGTAGTTATTCGTATGTATTTGTATTTCCTATTCTTTTTTTAAAGAAATTTGGTTCAAAATTACTGATATACATTTTAATTACATTCCATGCATCCAAGTATTCCAAGGCCTATTACATCATTATAATACCTCTGTGTGACTCCTATCATTCTACCAAATGCTGTAACCTTTTAATGTGCCTCATATAAGCTCCGAGACGGCTGCTGATAGCTGAAGCTAGCTCAGCGGTATAATCAAAATAGTGTTCGCCAAGGAACTTGTGTCGCATGATTATTAACTGAACAGTGATAGAGGTAATCTTCGACAAACGCTTGCTCCTTTTTCCCCACAGCCGCGACTAATATTCTCTTCGTTTCTCATGCTGATGAAGAATGGGTCTAGAAAGATTAAATGGTTTCATACGAAGGCTATATCTGTCTGGTCACGTAACTTGTTTTTAACGAAAGCCAGTTTAAGACATAGCATCCTCATTGCACCGGCTTATGGTGGTTAAAAGGGTTCTTACTCTCGTTAACTCGTCCTGATATTTGTTCAATAGTTTGCTAAGAGTTCTCTTACATTTTTCGCCAGTTTTGTTGTTGTTCAATTGTATTGTAGTCATCTATTGGTACCACATCCTTTTTATGAAATCTTCCATCACCAAAGCGCACAGTGGCTCGTCTGTGTGCCCTCAATTGGTGGTTTATGAATTCCATCTTTGAGATCTTGAATCGACATTCCAATTCCGGTTATAAAAAATTATTAATCATCTCTTGAAAGAGTATTGCGCAATGACTTTCCCAGGTCATAAATCGTAACAAACAGTTACGTGTTGAGAATGTAAGGAGGAGCAACTTTTCAGCAATGAATCTTGTGTTTTCCTAGCGCCAGATGCGACGGTTTTCCTATTGACGTAGCCTTCGAGAAATTTGGAAATGGTCCTCATCAGTGAAGATGATTTTTCGCTGAAATTTTTATAGTGAATTTTAATAATTTCATTGCATTGCTGAAGCGTGTATTGTTCCATTTTTATTAAAATAACCCGAAATATTTAACTTCGTTAAAGAAGGTGATTTCCAGGCCTTTTTATCACCCTATCATATGTAAATAATAAATTCATCTAGTTTAGACCTTACGTGTGATTTATAATTGCTTTTATTACATTTTCTCTTTTCATACACATAGCATTTCGCAATTTACGCTTCACGCTCTCGTCTCTCTGGTACGAGTATTCTTGTATTCTTGCATTCTCTATAGTAATTGCGCATGCGCAACTCAAGTGCTATTTAATTTCGTCAAAATTTACACAATGTGTGCCATAATCTAACTGTTTTACTTTGCCGTTTACCATTTATGTAACTCCCAGACCCCAATGACTCCCTCGAACGTGCCGGGCGCTGCATTTAATGTTTCCTGTCACACATATGTAAGCAAATGAATTAATGAGTGAGCGAGTGAATGAGTGATAAAGTGAAATTAATTTCTTCTTTTTTTTTGCCGAAATGCCTCATATTCAAGTAGGCGCATGCAAATGAAGACCGACTGTATGTATGTACGGGTCAAATGAGTATAAGCTTGTTTTGTTTTCTTTTTTCGCAAGCCTCTGGTCAACGAACTAATATTACCGTTAAAAACGAAGCTTGTGGGCCAGTTGTGCTCTACAATTCCATAGCAGTTTTCATTTAATCATTCATAACTTATGAGTTGAGCTCGAAAATGAAGTGAGTACTTTCCGCATTTATTTTCTCTTTTAAGAATTTCGCATTAAATAACAGTATTCTCGGCCCGTCGCCGTAAATATTAAAGAATTTTTTGCTTAGATTTTCCCTTTATAATTTTCGCTATTGTTAGAGAACAATTGGTATTCACTTGTCGTCGGCGCTCAGGTTTGGCGACAGACCAATCGAATAAAAGTCGGATTGAGTTGGTTGGCGGTGTTAGTCAGTAGGGCATTGTTATTGGTTGGGCAAACAGCTGCGGAAAATTTTAATCCAATATTTTTTAATTTAGTAAACAATCAAATAAAAGAGCGGAAAATGAGTACAATAAGCTGAATTAAACATATTGAAAAATAAAATTAACTAAGTAAAGTAAAGAAAAGAAAATAAAATAAAATAAAATAAAATAAAATAAAATAAAATAAAATAAAATAAAATAAAATAAAATAAAATAAATAAAATGAAATAAAATAAAGTGAAATTAAGTAAAATAAAGTAAAAATAAAAATTAAACAAAAAAAGTTGTCTGTCAGTTAGGTGACTGGATTACATATTATATATGTATATACTTGGCAGTTTGTAGCCGTTGAAGGGTTCTTTCAGCCGCGCTCCTCTCCCAATTTGTGGTTTTGCGTCTTGATGTTTTTCCAACAAATTAACTGGATTACAGTTCTAAAATTAAGATTTCCAAGCTTCGCCAGGATTTTTCTCTGCCAATTAGGTCCCAAAAACAAATGCATCCAAGTACAAGCTAAAAAAAATTTAATCCCAGTTATAAATGGCTTAAGCGCTCCCACTATGCTTACCTTGACTTCTGTCTCTTTGACATTTAACAAAATTATGTGACGTAGCCACTGATCAATATTTTATTTTGAGCTATGCTCTCTATGAATGAATACACGTGCCTGTTTGAAGCGATGGTAGCGAAGAAGCAGATCTCGGCAGAGTGAACGAAATGGTTGTATTAAAAGCAAGAAACCGGAAGTGTTTTTTTCTAAGTCTATTTTGAAATATTCTCGGAAGGGTTGAACTTCCCTGCCTTAGTGTGACCGCATTTATAAAATATTTATTTATAAAATTTTAGGATGCCCGATCTTCTGACTACTAACTTCGTCTAATTGTAATTTAGGCTAAAAGATTAACATTATATAAAACTTTTTAAATTAAACAAGTTTATACAAACCAACAAAGAGAAGGAGCCTGTTGTTTCAAATTTATGTCGCGGTTTGGGCAATCAGGTACAACATGAGCACCTATGCAACCGTAAGGAAAGTAGTTGAAAACCAACCGACGAACACCTTGGCAAAAAGGGAGACGTACACACTGTCTAAGCTACGGCAAATTCTGAGGTGTGAAGCTGCCATATGGTGAGCCACTGAGTCATATGTATGTAGAGAACCATGCAGATTATTTAACTGCTTCTGGCAGAGCTTGCTTGTTGGCAGGCAGGTAAAGTAATATTACATACCGCATAATACAGGAAAGTCAAAGTCTGCGTATACATACATAGGTATATACGAGGTGTGACAATTAAATATTGAGAATGCTTATATTGCCGCAATTGCCATTTTCCTCCTTCTGGCATTCTTCTCCTCTCCAATTAGATATCTGCCATCGCTCTAGCTTATTTAGTTCACCTGTTGTGTCGTATTGAGTGAACGTGTGTTCGTGGTGCTTGTTGCAGAAATGGAAAACCGTAATCAAAAACAACGTGTCGGGATAAAATGTTGCACTAAATCGGGCGAAATAGCTTCGGAAACCTACGGTACAGTTGTAAAAGTGCATGGCATGATAGCGCTCTTAGTCCTGCCCAACTGTTTCGGTGGCGTAAAGAGTTTAAAGAGGGGCGTGAAAGCGTGGAAGACGAGGCGCGGAGCGGGAGACCAGTCGAGGTGCGGACTGACACGAATACGCAGCGTGTGTGCGCTCTAATCGACGAAGATCAACGTTTAACAGTTCGACTATCGCCAAGTACTCGAAAGATTGGGAAAACGACTCAACGGGGTGCGGGGTAACTAGATCCTTCATCACGACAACGCGCCGTGCCACACCTCCTTTATTGGCCCGATATGCCACCTTGTGACTTCTTTTTGTTCACTAGAACGAAATCGGTGGTCAAAGGAACCCGTTACTTGAAGACATCCAAGCAGTCGTGATAAGGGTATTCTCGGACAACACAGTCGAAGCGTTACGAGCATGGAAAACGAGTTGGCGCTGGAATCGTTGTGTAGCTGCCCAAGGGGACTGCTGTGAAGGGGATGGCGGAATATTAGAATAAATTTGAAATATAAGGTTTTTTATGGAATCAGACTCATTACTTAACTGCCACACCTCGTATGATACCAGTATGCCACAACGCAAGCTACGATTTACATATATGTATACACGTATGTAATATATGTTATATTTGCATGAAAGTCAAGCGTTAAGGACTAAAAATTTTAAAAACTAATAAAATAAATATTTTTCTGTCTAAATCAGTAACTATGTTTTAATGAACTAACAAATATATACATGAGTTTATACACATACGTAGCAGCATAAATAATGTGTATTCTCATAGCATCCGCCATATGCATTCAATCAGCACTCATCGTCTTTCCTACTTGAACTCAGATTTAGTGATTCTGTTGTTCAATTACATGATTGGCAATCTCTTCAAAGTGACGTAGAGCTTGCTTTTTCTTTTCCACTGTCAAGTTGTCGGATAGCCGAATCAAAATGCATATCATAACAGTGGACAATATGCCAAAGGCAAAGCAAACAATCTAAAATCGATATAGAAAATTTTGAGTTTCAATACAAAATTCGTCAAAATATTTGAATTGTTTTTACTTTATAGATTAATTTCAATCGTTGTCTCTCGAGCGGTTCCGGCATACTGTCTTCGATTAAAACATTCTTTCTTTGCGGCTGTTTTTCCATTGTGTTTCCTTTTGTTGTTCTGTTTTTGAAAGTTACGAATGATTTATTTTTAATTTTCGTCGAATTTCCTAGCTGACATTTTTTTCATAGTTTAGAAAAATTCATAATTCATAATTATTTTTCTAAACATGTAAAATTTGTTAGTATTCAACACAAAATCCACTATCGTAAGCAGAGGAATAGAAGGATCTTATCTTATCCAGCGGGGAAAGTGTTGTTTTCTCTTGGTGTCTCCAATTGATACCAAATATCTAAGACAAAAAACGGCAATCTACACCTAACAAAAAGAAGAGGAGCCAAGAGTTATAATGCAGACTGATGGCTCAAAATGTATATGGTCGAAAGGGTATGCTATATAACAGTAAATCCATTCATTTGCTATCATATCTAAAGCACAGAACGCCTCTCAGAAGGATAAATTCGCTGAAACTGCACCACTATCCCTAAATAAAGAGAGAGACCTTTAGATAACACGCCCCACAGCTCAAATTAGCAAGTATTGGATCCCCTCAGGAGGTAGAGTGGTAACACTCATTTGGTCATTTATAGCAAACAAATTTTTGAAAAAATCTGAAAAAGAACACTTAAACTTATGCAGAAGACTTAGCTGAACTACCGACAGGCAGATTCCTAGACACAATTATTTGTCCAGCATACAAGGCTCTAAGGACGGAAGGAACTGGGTGGTTAACTTACCCCGATAAAGCAAACACATACAAAATCCCAGCTCGCGGCTTAACGGGAAAAACATATGTGGAAACTCAATATGGAAGAGATGGTGAAAGAGGCCAATGGTGCTATTTACGTATATAAAAAGATCTTAGAGTCTAGACTGGACTAAAAGCAAACAATCTCACATTCTATTGCATTAAAAATTGTTCTTAGAAGCAAGGTGACATACACACTAAGTATAAGGGTATTCCGGGGTACGATATAACTAGTGGGATAAACAAAAGAACCATATAAATGGCTACTAAACCAGTCATAGAAATACAGAAGTCTCGCAAGTACCATTCACAATGAAATTTTCGAAGGATGTAACAGACGTGCCAGAGGAGAGGCCTTCATAATGGTAGTATGCAAACTCATCGGCCATTGCGGCTGCGGTGAAAATAATGAAGTAAAATTATTGCTGAAATTACCCCTTCTATTCGTCGTCTTCAATCTTTTACAAGGAACACTATCTCACGATAGCTAGTATAGACTAGAAGTGAGACGAAGCACAATAATGTTTATGCATTTTTAAAGGCAAACTATGAGAGTCTCGTGTCTTCATGAGAAAAAGTAGAAAATCTCTGTGTTTGCATTATCTGTTTCTGGTACACCTCCATGGGTCATGTAGTTATATATATCTGAGGCGAAATATTTCCTATTCATTCCCCATGAAACTATTCCTAATTTTTCTAAAAAATCCATTCTAATCTGAAACAATAGTTTTTCACGAAATACCTCCCAAAATGTTTGTCTATTTTTGGCTCATTTCTTTTTCTTTTCCTCCCTTAGTGAATATTCAACTGATCTTGTCCTGCACAGGTTAGTTGGAAGTCAAGTGTGATTGACAATATAGATTGTCTCTTCAGCTTTTTGATATTATCAATCTCATTTCACTATAATTGTCTGCTATACTTCCTTAGTATTTGCAACATCTATCCTGGATGGACCGTAAAGAACTATGATCTCAAAATATTTAAACCAAGAACCATCTAATGAATGGAATTTACCCAGAAGATGAGCGAACGTTTTCTTCTTCTCATCGTCTTTGCAGATTGTGCACCATAAGGGGTTTCTGACCTCCCATTTTCTTGAATATCTTATCTATTTAGTGGATGAGTAAATTTCGTAACCTCTTTTTGGTATATTTTTTATAGATTTCTCTAGATTTCTTTGAAGTAGTGGTGTGATTTTATTGTAGCTTAACGGTGCATATAGATACATCTCCTGTATATATCTATATTTGGTCAACTTCTTACATAACAAGTTCATTCACTTAACAGCTTTACTCGAAATCAATTTCTCATGTTTCAGTCAGCATTTTTTTAATTTAAATTTAAAATTTTTAGGCGCCAACTCAGGTTAAGCTGATTCAATTACAGCATCCACTGGTGAAAGGAGAAAAAATAAATGAGATGAGCCAAAAGTCAGTAAGGATCTCTAGTGCAAATCTTGTTTTGTTTATAAATTATCAATCTCCTCAAGTCAACATTGGCTACAACCATTAATGGGACTGCAATGCAGGCGACTAGGCAAATAGTGTGATGTAGAAAATCGCCGGCTCGCTGCAGTCGCCTGCTTGTGTTTATGGGACTTGATTGGATTTAGCGACATGCGACAGTAAGACGGTTAGCACAGCAGACTTATTGGGAGGAAAATTGATGGCTCCCCATTGACAAGAGATCCTGAAGCAACACTGAGAACACAGCACATATGAAGATGAGGAGGTGTGCGTATAATTTACGAATGTAGATACGAGTATATACTTATACGGCATTAGTAACTCAATAGCTCTGCCTGTCTCTTTTCTATGTACTAACAAGTGGTCTCGTATACGTTTCTATATCTCCCTACACACTAGAAGCCACAAATCACACACACAGAATGGCATCTTGTAGCCAATGTTGGTGTGGCTCGCAGTATTTTTCAGTTGCGCTGCAGTCACAAAACACAAAATAAACACATTAAAGTTGTAAATTGGATTTCGAAAATCTCTACTTTCCACAGGCTCTTGACAGTTGTTGGCAGCTCTTATACTCAGTTGATACAAGGACACGGTTGCGCTGGAAAGGTAGACAGTGGTGTCAGTAACCGCACGAAAGGGAATATCTGATTAGCTGGCTATTTAGAATATTTGTTGGACATACTAGTGATTCCTCTTTCGTGGTGCAACGCAAGAAGCTCCACTTCCTCTGGCTCCATCAGGGGTACCGCATCGAAAAGTTTCAAAACGATTGCTGGTTTTGTACATCGAGTCAGCATGGCCTTACAAGCTTTTGTAAAAAAAATTTGGTTGCTTAACTAACTTCAGCAGAGCTTTCAATTATTTCCAGGAATACACGAAAAGCTATTTCTATTTTTCCAGAATTAAGATGAAAACAATCACATAATGGAATCAGTTTAATCAAACTGAGCTGGAAAATAAACTTTGAAAACAGAATAGTGAAAGCTGATATTGCCTGCTATATTTTCTATAGAATACTTGGCGTGACACTGGTATCTTAAACCGAATATTGTTAATACACCAATACATTAATTCTTGTTTATGAAGCACTGGCTTAGTGGGCAGCTTAATAGAAGAAGTATAATATCAAAATACTAAGTAACATGCAGGGACCAACCAGGGTAATCTAGACTTCTGAGTGATGACCAATGGATGATCTTAATGCGCTCTTTCATCAACTGCCCATAATTGTGTCAATTTGGAAAGTAACATTGGGTTCTCTTATAAGGTTTAAAGAGAGGGGTGGTTGGACGCAGGAGAGTTATGGATGCAGCGGCATCTACTCCTATGAGTTCTAATGGGCTTCCAAAACTCGTCATATATGACACGCCTTTGCATATTCGGTCCAACTTTGTGACACTAATTCCCCGTCATAAAAGAATTGACAAAGGAACATGGTACTTCGACGGCACTATTGAATTATGTAGAAAGAGTTCAAGTGTTAATCGGGAGTGGACCACCAAATAACATTAGCTGCGAAAACATTGAAACACGACTATTTACCAGTCTCTTGATGTTCAATGATAGGCAGACAAAAATAAAAGCCATAGACACGATAGCTATAAGCTATAAGCTCTCAAGTGGTACTGGACTGCCACAGGTCGCTTTAGAAATTGTTTGAACAAAAGAAATAATAATTTATTTGGGTTCTTGGTTACAAAGATATAGAGGAGGACTACACAGGAGTTTTATCTGCTAAGCAACCTTCAAGATCCATTAGAAAAAGGAGGAACTGACCAACTGCAAGCTCTTCTTAAATTCAGATACGGGTCCCGTTGAGGTAAACAGACAAAGTTAGACCAAATGCGGCGACAAAGTTAGACCAAATGTAGAATGACTTATATTCTCTGAAAAACCAGGAAATCTCAGAAGCAACTAATTCCATGAAGGGAAGAGAAAATTGTACACCCAATATGCGATTACCCCGCTTTAACCTGAAGTATAATTTGGATTTTTTGAGTCGATTTATAGTCAAAGTGTATGGGATGTATAGGAAAAAATTCATAGAATTAGATAAAACTGTGGATTAATGTTGTTGTTGTTGTAGCGGTTCGATAACCCCGCTTAGGCACAGGTTTGATCAATCTATGTCGCCGAGGTCATCTAATGGGAAGTCCAAGAAACGAGCTTTTTCGACGGGGTTGGAGCAAAGGGAGAGGGGGCTTAGATGAGTTGGTTTGAGAGGGCATGTGAAGAGGTGGTTATTGCCGTGCCTAGACTCTCCACATGCAGAGCATACGTTGGGTATGCTGGGGTCTAGTCGGGATAAATAGGAGTTTAGCCAGCAACAATATCCAGACCTGAGTTGTGTCAGAGTCACGCGGGTCTGTCGAGGTAGCTCGAGCCAGTTGTCTGCTATAGGTGGTAATTTTTTTCCGAGCACGTCATTCACAGAAAGGAAGTCCTTGAAAGTGTTGACTGACTCCTGGTGAATGGCGTTCAGTCTGTACGACGTCCTGTGCAGCGGTTGTTGCACGTGTTGCTGGATTGTGTCCTTAAGATCTAGTACTCCTAATGTGTACCTCAGGTGCTGCCGGCTAGCGCTTTGAGTATTTTGTTGGGGCTCTGGAGTTTTGTGGCAATTGCAGTCGTATGAGGAGTAAAGTATTGCAGGCTGTCTAGTGTTACTCCCAATACCTTTGGGTTATTTGGTTGTATTTTTAGCTGTCTTGCAGTGAAGAAGTGGGAGAGATCAGCGAGGTAGCCATTCACTTTCGAGCAGAGGCCGTCAATATCGTGGCCGGATGCCTTTATCGTACAATCATCGGCATAAGAAGTTAGGGAAACTTCTTCTGTTGGTGAAGGAAGTTTCGAAATGTAGAAATTAAACAGTAGCGAGGAGAGGACACCACCTTGCGGAATCCCCTGT